GAGAGCACACTACCACCAGGGGGCAAGCAGCTCCTGCGTTGAGCATCTGTCCCCTGGTGATCAGTGTGCATCTTAGCGACTGGTCGACCAGTTGTTCCGGTAACGGTCACTTAGGCATACACATACACACACACACACACACACACACACACATATATATATATAAAATATCAGCACAATTTTAGAGCATTTTTATCACATAAAAAAAACAAACTTGTACCCCTTAACAGTCACTCCCCTTTTGCTCCCCTAATCCCCCGCTCTAGTAGTAGGCTAGAACAGCAGTACATTAATCTACTTTCTGTCTCTATACATTTGCCTCCTCTGGACATTTCATATAGATGGAATCATGCTTTGTGACTGGCTTTTTTCACTTAGCATATTGTTTTCATTCATCCACATTGTAAGAGTACTTAATTACTTTTTATGGCCAAATAAAATCCTGTTGTATGGCTATACCATTATTTAACTATTCATCAGCTGATGGACATTTGGGTTGTTTATAATGTTTTGCTATTATGACTATTGCTGAGGTGGACATTTGTGGACATGTTTTTGTTTAGATATGTTTTTGATTTCCTTCTTTTTACGGCAGAATAATATTCCGTGTGTATACCATTTCTTTATTCCTTCATCCACTGATGGATAATTAGGTGGTTTCCATGTCTTGGTAATCTATATATATAAAAGCCTAAGCAACTGTTCAACCATTCGACTGGTAACTATGACACGTACAGACCACCAGGGGGCAGACACTCAACACACAGTTAAGGAAACATGTAACAGACTGATGAATCTCAGAGGAAAGTGGGGAGGCAGAGGGCAGGAAGAGATTAACCAAAGATCTTATATGCATACTGTAGGCCCAGTGCACGAGTTCATCCACTGGTGGGGTCCCTCGGCCTGGCCTGCGGGGATCGGGCCAAATCTGTGCACTGGGCTTCCCACATCCCTCAAGGGGCCCCAGATTGTGAGAGGGCACAGGCCAGTATGCAAGGGTTCCCCTTTTCCATATCCTTACCAACACTTGGTGGATTTGATTGGCATTCTGATAGGTGTGAGGTGCTATCTCATTGCGGTTTTAATTTGCAATTCTCTGATGATTACTGACATTGATCTTTTCATATGTCTATTGGCCATACGTATATTCTTTGGAGAAATACCATTCAGATCCTCTGCCCAATTTTTATTTGGATTGTTTTTTAGTGTTGAGTTACACGAGTACTTTAGAAATTTTGGATATTAAACCCTTATCAGCTGTATCATTGGTGAATATCTTCTTCCATTTGGGAGGTTGTCTTTCTATTTTGTTAA